TTGACTAGAGCTAATAAATTTTCTGGCAGACATTGTAATTTTCCCATATGATGTGAAAAAATTATCCGCAGACATGTTCTTCAAATGCTCCTAAGAGATACTAGGAAATCGGCAGCCAGACTGCTATCGAACTTCAACCAAGTCACTTTAATTTGTAATCTTCCCATGGCCGTTTCATAACATAACATAACATAACATTAGTTAAGGTGGTGAACCAACAAAGAAATTCTGAGACTCTGCTGGGAAACAACAAGTAGGTTGATTTAAAGTTTGCAAGAATCATTAATTTAAGATATTCGAAAATCGTGAATTGTCAGATTTCTGCCTAGCAAATAGTAACGCCCAGAGGAATTGACGGTCACTCGTTCGATTTGGTGCGAGATAACAGTGGACTGTTATTAATGAAGATAAAATATCTACCCATCTCTTCTTGTCTTTAGTGATTTCCTGGATGGCGTTTATGTGTGACAAGGATTACATCAGGAAACCCTTTATTTCACAAGCAATCTCACTTATGTTGTTTTATACCGAGAAGGACATATTCACAGGTATTCATAAGGAAAGTTCTTCTGGTATGTAGATTACAAAAGTTAAAATCTGTATAAATTTTCTTCAATAATTACAAACATAGAATAATATGGAATAATGCTATGTTTTCTCTAATATTAATCCATATGTACAGCCATAAATACAGTCTAACTGAACAAAGCAAGAACAATAAATTCAATGGGCGAATGTGATGTCATTTTCTTTCCTTGGATCTTGTCAACTTCATACAACCTAAAACAATTTTCATATGTTGATGGGCCATTGAATCAGGTCCCAGTGGCTCGCCATGTAACCAGAAGGTCCTCAGTTCGAACACTGGTGGTGGGCGCATACTGACGAAGAGTCCCAAACTAGGACGAAACAGCTGACCAGTACTCTCTAACTGATGTCAGCTCATTATGAAATCCTCCAACCAGTCAAATAAAAAATTCCTACAAAACCAATACTTGAAAATTATATTTGTAAAATCTCAGCAAAATTGAAATGATTGATTCCAAAGTTTCGTTTGGCAATCTGGTCCGAACCTCTTCAGGGAAATTAATCGAAATTAACATGACAGAGGTTTATATATAAGAAGACATCTTTTGTTTTTAAAAACTGTCCAATCATATGAGTCATGAAATAGGTATATATCAATGTACAAACAAAAGGGGACTATATATATCCAAGGGGACTAATTGTTTTACAAAGGGGTGAGTTAAAATAAGTGTAAAAAGGAGTGAGAAAAACTACGAGTAAAAATTGGCTTGGGGATCACCAATGTATTAAACGAATGTGGTGAAAGTGTGAAAAATAAACTTTAGGGTGAGAAAGTAAGCACATAAATGATACAATGATGGACACACAAAATGATAAGAAAGTTAAAATGATAAATACCAGCGAAATATAGTAAGAATTAATCAGTGTGAAATATACTTACTTACTTTACTTACTTTACTTCGGCTATCTCCTACGGGAGGATGAGCCGGCTTCATGAACGTCTCGAATCATCGCTGCCCAGGCGCGGCAATTTGTAAGAGAGTTCATGAAGTTTCATGGGAATTTGGTACGAGTGATGTCCCCAGCATCGCTCGGCCTTTGTTTGAGAGTGCAGCTCTAGCCTTTACACAGCCAAGTGTGACCTACAAGGCAGTAGGAGTGGAGTAAGGGGTCCACTATCCATTGGCAGCCGGTGACCGGAGTTCGGTTCATACGCCTTTTTGAATGGGGCCAGACATCCAGGACATCCAACAAGCCCTTTGTCCATACGTCTGCCGGTGAGCTCCAGTGAGCTTCATACGCCAGTCGTCGGAGGTTTGGAATCAGGGTTTAGCCATCTCCCCTAGACCGTCATCCAATGGACAGTCAACCCGGTGGAGAGCGCCGGGCATCCGCTTTCGCCCTCTCACTTTGGTGAGAAACACCTCCGCCACGTGAAGGCAGTGAGTAGGACTTCCTCAGGAGAGGCTATGTAAGACGCCCGGTCATATGGGAGCATTTCAAGAGGTGTGCGGAGGGGTGGCCAACCCGCAGCGCAAGGCACCCACCCCCGACCATCCTGAGGCTTTGGAAGTAGTGTGAAAATATATCCATATCATGAATTAAAAGTCAATCTGAACGAAGAATATTCTTTTCAATAATTTCTTTTCAGGTTCTTACAATTAGAAAATATAATATCTGTTGTTGTTATAACAATGTATTAAATATTCCCATAGTGGAATTTAGAACAACACATTTAAGCGAATAACATTGTTTTCAATCAGGTCTCATCAGCCTTAACTCTAATATACTTAACTTCAGAACAAAATATTTAGAGCGAACAATTGTTTTCAATAAATTCTTCTTCAGGCTCTACAATTATAAATCCATTAATGTAAGCATACAATAGCCAGTAAAGGCGAATCAGAATCATATCAGAAAGTGTATTGTGGAACAAGTATAAGATGGGATGAAACAATAGTCATATAGTTTTTTAATATGCATGGTCAATAACAACATGGGACAGAATGAGATGTATATCGGTAACATGTGTTATCAGTCTTACACCTCTAGTTAGTACTCAGCCCTTGTTCCTAGCTCTACAACATTCTTAGAATTATTTCTATATTTGCTAACAAGCTTAATAGCAGCTCTTATCCCTTTCGTTATGCTATTATATTACTTAATCTAAGTGACCTTTATGTTTACGTTTAATAAATAAGGCACACGAGTGTTTTCGACACAAACAGAAATTGGTTGAAGGGTTTCATTATGAGCTGACATCAGTTAGAGAACCACTGGAAAACCGGTCAGGGAGTACTGGACGGCCAGCGGTTTCGTCCTAGTTTGGGACTCTTCGTCAGTACGCGCCCACCGCCAGTGTTCGAACTGAGGACCTTCTGGTTGCAAGGCGAGCTAGCTGGTAGACCATTAAGCCACTGGGACCCAATCCAATGGCCCAAGAATTTTAACTTCTGCCAATTCACGACATAGCGCGACCACTTCGCAATGTCTTCTTCGATGAGTTACTGCCTCATGATGAAATCCTCCAACCAATCAAATATAATTTTTAAAAATAACCGCGGTAAGCCTGTTGTAAAAGAAAGAAAAATGAATTTTTCCAATTGATCTGGTTGGCTATACATATATTAGACAAAGTGGCAATGAAATAAACTTTAAGTACAGCTGAAAAAATAAATTGCAAAGAATAATGTCATATGAACGACATCTGTGTTACATTCTTTCTAAACAAGCACCTTCAAGTATTAAATTATATAACGTCGGAGAAGAGAATATAAGCTAGGAAACAGTTGGATTGATTTGAATGTGTTTGTAGGCTGGTCTGAAATGATTGTGGATCGATTACAAATAGAAAAGTGAATTTATTAGCTATATTTCACTCTTTATACGACTTATGTCTAGTAGGCTGCTTCGATGAAAACATAATTTTTCCTATGACTTCTATTTGATTTTCGTGTTTATTATTTTCAATTTTTTTTTCCGTATTTCTTTTCGTTTGTGCTAGCCACCTTCAAACTATGCACTTTACACATTATGCTCTATTTAAGAAACCTAGTATATATTTAGTACCTCAGGCGGTGTATGAAATGAGAGTCTTGCAACGTTATGTAACCCATTTCAGCACAAGTGATCTAGATGAAGGAGATTATCACTGGAGGTAGAATTGTGGATAATTTTGACGGGTTCTAGGTTTTCGAGGATTTTAATTTATAGCGAAAGAGTAGCTCAGTAGCTAACCTTAAGACAATATTTACTATACGATGCATATAAGGAGATTGCGTAAATTTAACATATTGTGCATTCCACGGACACTATCTTAGTTTGGTCCTACTGCCCATTTTACGTCTTTACCTTATCGCTCATACACTAAAATTTCAGCGAATGTCTAAACTTTATGTTTTTTTAAAATAGTATAGATGTTAAAATTCCCGGTTAATCGTAACAGTTTATTGGTAATGTCTTCATCTTCAATGTAAGTCGACTAAGCTTTTAGTTATTGAAGTGTAATGAATTATCTCTTATGTGTTAACAACTGAGAATTTTATGTTCTACAGACAAACTCTGCACAAACTGTTTAAAATTTTAATTCTTAAGCATTCACTTTTGCTCGTAAAAAGCTAGCTACTGTTCTGCATTATTCTATAATAGCAAGAAGTTTTATTAATGGAAAGTATATTTTTCAAATGCTTATCTAATTCCCTAAGAGAAATAATTCGTCTGCTTCTAACATACAGTTTACGTAAAGCTAATCGATCAGTTTACAAGGATCACGACAAAACCTGAGAATACAAGTAGCCTTAGCATTCTGGACACACCGTGTTGACAGAGTACAAACGAACATAAAGGCTGGGTTTACACCTTACTAGTGATTGAATATCCTAACAAGCACAACCATCGTCTTTCCTTTTTATAAGGTGTAGCACGGATTTTCAGTTAAAATAAATTCCACATTCCCTGTGAATATTTGTTTCGTAAATAAGTTCTTTCCACTAATGCATGAATATCTTTGTCTTTTTATTGATAAGATTGTTACTACCACCATCTGATCGTAAGTCAGGCACCTCTGATAACATGATTTTATACAGTTTACTTTTCTGATTCACCAAGACGCATTCACCAAATAAATATAAATTCAAAGTGAATCAACGACTGTTCACGAGTTAAAGTAATATTCATTTATTTTTCATGTCAAAAATAAAGAGTTCAGATAATTTCAATATTCATCAAGCATCTCATAGTGAGTACTACTTCACCTAGGTTTCCTTGTTGCTGAGATCAAGTAGTAGCTCCAGGATTAAGCACATTTGCGCTTCACCTACTTTTCCGACTAACACACTTGCAGAACTGGATTATATCTACAAGTCTCATAATGTAATATGAAAGTAACGAAAAATGAAAACAAAATCAGTACAGTAGTGTAATATGAAGTTTATTTTTATGCATAAAAAATATTAAATGTACATAAGACTAGATTATGCAGATCTTCCAACTTGCATAAATTTTATGAACTCCTTAAAATCAATGTAACCACTCCCATCTCCATCACAGTAACTGAAAATTGTTTGCAAATCTTTCGTAGAAAATGTAGAGCCTCCGTATTGTTTCATGTATTTTTTAAACTCCTTTTTACTGATCCGTCCATCATGATTCGCATCAGCTTTTTTGAAAATTTCCCGCCAAAATGCTTCTCTGAAACATTAAGAAATAATAAGTTGATTATTCCCATGAAATTCACCTCAATGCTTAATCATGAAATGTTTGCAGATGAAGATGGGAGGAATACACATGAGCTCGTTACTAGCACATACACTAGAATCATGCCTCTACTTTGTCCCTTGCTCATAACTTTCTTGAGAAGTCGTTTGTTTTGGAGTAATTTAATAGACTATAGTGCATTTTTCCATCCACAGCTGTACATACACTACTTAACCTCAGTTTTACTGAATAAATTGATGCGAGATGCGACCACCAGTTCTTGATTTTAATCTAGTCACTTCCCTTACCTTTCGTGTGAAAAAGCAATATAAGACTGTCCGCTTAATTTCACCACAATGTTTGTCCACTTCAATTCGATTCCAATTCTAGTAATCGTGAGTTAACGTTGGGAAGTGGTTAATGAGATGTTTCTGAAACTGTCTTAGATGACCCAAGTTCAGAAAACAGCTGTTGGTGGTATGATAGCTAAAACTGAACAGAAATCATAAGTTGTATCAGGATTAAAATCAGCGGTATCTGTGTTATCGAGCTGTTGATACGCTGACTAGGTTAGAGCATATTCTTCAAAGGAAGCCATAGTGTTCTATGTTGTGTCGTCACCATTAATTCAGATCATGAACATTACAGATATTTTTACTTTGTATGGTAAACTAATGGATGAATGTATTGTATTTTATGAGACCAGTTAGAAGAGATTATTCAAAACTCAAATAAATGCTAGACTTCAGAAGGAGTCGACTGGCCTAACTTCCCGAACTTAAGTTTCAAGCTTCTCATCATCAGTCAGTTAGACGTATTTGTAGTCCTAACGGAAATCCTTCTGGCGCGTGATTTCAGTTTGTATTAGACAAACATGTTTGCCCTGAAGAATTTTGTGCCACAACTTATTTTTTTATGCCTATGTAATATATTATTTAAAACACTGCTTGTCAGTTAAAAAACATTCCTCCGGTTAAGCTAGTCAGAATTATTGTTTCAGTTTTTTTATACAACTTAGTGTAATCAGCTTCCCATTAATGTATGAATATCAAGGAGTAGAATAGCTAGAGATATGAAAATCGTAACTGTCAGTCTTATCCTCTGCAAAACTCAAGCTAGAGGAAATAGTAAATAGGTTACAGTTATACATAAAATCACTGAAATATTCCAGCAGGAATATAAACTGCTGTATTCATCTTTTATGACTTGTACTTAAAGATGAGTACTTCAGTGACAGATGTTTTGCAACAGTCCTAACACAAAAATCATCTTCGACAAATACTTATTAACTACCTACTGTATTAGGTTTTAATCACATACCACACTATCGGGAAAAGCTGCTTAAATGTGTTTTATTAATATATGTATAAAACTTGGGCACTGTGGTAGTAAGTAATTCCATATTAGTTTGGGACAGGCGTTGAATCATTCCTATTACACGTATTTGTAGTTAATTCGATAAACAAAGCTTCCGCTATCAATCTCTCCCTCCAAAGACTTTGTTTATCGAATCAACTGCAAATACATGTAATAGGAATGATTCATCACCTGTCCCTGATATCTGGAAAATTCTACTACCCGTACGACAAATAGGAGAGAACAAAGAAGACTATAAAACTCAAGTTTCAAAGTCATCTGATCACAGTTGATATGATTATGAACAATAAATTTAGTTCCAAACCTTGTCATCCAGTAAATAATATTGTTTCACCGTGTGATACATGTAATAAGCTAATATAGAATAAATGTGCAATAGTTCACTTATTTCTGAAATTTGCACAGAGGATGCTGTCAAGACAGGAAGTTCATGATTAAACTATCCAGCTCAGAGAACGTAGCACCATCTGGGTTACTAGGTTCAAACAAAAATGTTTTAACGGATCTGAAATTGGAACATAATAAAGCTTCATCTTTTTCTCATTTTTTGAGAAGTGCATTCTTTTATTTTTCATGTCATTTTTAAATTAGTGCAGAATTCGTTAAGAGGAGAAAATCAGTATATCTGGAATTTCCAGAATCAGTGAACGTCAAAGTAACTACGATATACTAACTGTAAGTAGCTTTTGAACACTATTTACAGTCTAGGGGATCATGTTTCAGACATGTCTCACAGATTATTTACAAACCAACTGCCTAAAAGAACATCAATATTTGTAGATTACTGTAAAATGAGCTTAAAATTCTTTAAAATTCAGAGTTAATTTGACTAGTTGCATGAAAAAGATGTGCATAGATATCATTATTTTATATGATAAAAAATATATAGCCTAGAACTGTATAAAACTGTCATAACTCATGTCACTTATGATGTTTAGTTGGTGGTGGTGAGTATTAGAATCCTGCTGCCACATTTCGTTCTATCTGGGACCCTTCAGTTGGATGTACCCTCATCCTCAGTGAGTGATGCTGTTCCCACTAGGATATAAACCCAGAACCCATCGTTTCAAACGCCAAAGAGTCACAAGAATCACCTGTCAAGTAATTAATATTAGTTTTTATTTGCTGCATTTATTATTTTGTATTTCCTTCCTTGCTAGGAGCCAGTTTTTCAACAGATACTGGACATATGAGTCCAATGAAAATCAATGAACAACAAATACTAACTAGTGCCCTCATTTTGAAAAGAAAGCTTCAGTCATTCGTAACAGTTGTGAGCTTAGTTATTCACAGTGGTCCTTTAGAGATTCCTCTTAACATAACTGTATGAGAGAAGACATAAAATTGGTAAAGTGTGAAAGTAGTCTAGATCTGCCATTCTGAAAAAAGTATGAATATCCAACTGAATACTTTTATTCAAAACAAAAGTATTAGCATTTTCTCTGTCTGTTATAAAACCAAAAAAAAATTCTTCAGATAGGTTATGTGAAAAAAGAACCAATAGATCAACGTGTGCGTACTGATATTTAGGCGGTGAATGATTAACTGAGTTATTCTAGTTGATTTCAAAGTAGAATTTCGTCTGATCAATTTTTTAGGTAAATGACGTCAAGTCATATGAAATTCAAATTACTACAATAACAACCCAAGTAATGCAAACCTGCGGGATTCACCTGAAACACTCAAATTCTATTTTATTGATATTTTAGATTGTATATTGTCTTTCTCAACACTTGAGTAAACCTTCTAAATAAAGCTATTTAGACTAATCTCGTTTATAAAATAATTATGACTTGATCAAAAATAAGTTAGGAAGACGGTTATGTATCTTAAACTGGTGAATTAAAAGACAGGTGTATAAATCAGTTGAACGGTTTCTTTCACTGGGAATCTAGCATCTAGAGTCTTGTACAGACTCTTATGTGTAAGCAAAAATAAACTGTAACCATGTATCTATCATTTCACTGAGTCTAGTAACCGTTTTCAACAATAAAAAGCCACACTTGTTGGTCATTGGTAACCAGTCTTTATAGGTGTTCACAATTAGGTAAAATATTAGTACTTTATTTGCACTTCTAAAGATAAATACCTGAGTTCAATTTGCGCTGGAAAAACTTTCACATCGTCATGTCACGTATGAATACTGAAGCTAAATAAAAAAGGCCTTACAAAAATGATGTGAACCTAGACTAATCTTATCCACCAACTAAAAATTTTGAATTAAGTTGTCCAATTACCAGTTGGATCTTCACTAAATTCATTCACGCAAATACGGTCTGTGCAGTCCATGAGACGTATGACTGTTTGATTTGTTACTAGTTTGAGATGTAATCAAGGAATTTACTGATTTCACTTTCCAAACATCATCGACTTTAGAAAAAGGAAGTAATCCACTGTTTAAATGAAGCTATTCTAAAACAAAGACTTTTTTATTCCATTGTACTCTATTACTCGAGTACTTTGATATGATTATGACCAATAAATTGTGCTCGAAACGTCATCAGTAAACATTACTGTATAACATTGTGAGACTTTATCAAAATAAATTTTACCCACAATGGAATTATGCTGTACCACAGTGCACAGGTTCTTATCTTATATCAAAGATTTTTATGTTTAAACTGAAAGATTGACGCCTAATTAGTTATTCATTATTGTCATTCAGTGTGGATACTGTCAAATTCATAGCATGTAGGTTATTTCTTAAAAATTCGAAATTTTCAGCCATTTCAGTATATTCTAAAATTTAGTTTATCATTCATGAATATACGAAAAGTTCTAATTTACAATTCCAGATATCTTCATCAAAGCATGGAGAATAAAGTTTGCCCATATTATGTAGTTCAATTTTTGTTCTTCTTATATTATAAATCTGATTTATGCTGACTGGGACATTACTCATATCATTCTCATAACCTGAGCAAGTTTTTTGTAGCTGGAGAGGTGTCGCTCTATTTTACTCTCGGGGATCATGATGGGAAGCATTCCAGTCGGTTATGATGACAAATAACATTATCAGATTCGATATTCATCTGATAGGAATTCCTAACAGGGAAATCTAACATCGATTAACTCAAAATATTTGCTACCAGTATACTTCTTATACCCTTCTTACACTTAAAACAATCCACTAAATCAGGCCAAAAGTCTTGAGAAAAGTTTTTAACAGAGGAGTAAAGGGCAACCTGGCTATGTTTATACCTAACTAATTCCACTGGGATACAACTTTGAATACAAAGGTTACCTATCAGAAGATATTAGATGCTTACCTTAATACTAAATTCTCTAACAGAAACTTAACTCACTTAGGTTGTCAGTAATAATTAAAGAGGTGTAGACTGATAGTCGAAGTTGTTTTCTCAATACAACACTTCTACGCTTTTGAAATTCAGGTCAGCCTAAAGATAAAGTCTTTCAATTCATAACTGACTGCATAATTTTTCGACGAAATAAAGTGTGAATATATATATATATCAGTAACATTTCTAGTACTCTCAATATTGGTACTGAAGTCGTTGTGGAGACCAGTCAGAGGATGCCATCTTATTGTAACACTCTGATGATTAGTTCTTAGTCATTTCTATCAGTCATTCGATTCACCAAGCCAGTTAACACTATGTGCTAGTGAGTTAATTTTTGTTACAACATTTTAGAAGTGAGTCGGTAGTAATCTTAATTGTTATACCATATTACACAACTACTGAACTTCAGACGACCATAAAATTCACTGACAGTTAAAAGTGAAGGAATATTCGAGAAAACGAATCCTGGTTATCACTATATACTGACAACCACTTGATACTACAGCTTTTCAAAAATTTAAATAATGTCTAATAAAAACTACTTTTCAATGAATTGACTACATTAAATAATGTGAAAAGAAAAGTGTTTTCGTGGAGTAATAAAAATTTTTAATCACCAAATTGTGAAATAAACTTACTCCAAATCCACACCGCAGTTCATTGTTCACTGAGAATTGGTACTTACTGAATTTAAGGGTTGTTGTGCAAGCAGATATCTTTACAAAGAAATACAACATGGGAAAGAATTGTTTGAAGCTTCTTAACATAATAAAATATTTAATATTTATAATATCAAAAAAATGACTGTATATTTGCCCTAGCCAAATAAGTCAGCATAAATAATGAGCGTCCTCCAACATTTGACTCAAACTCTTAAATATAATGGTAATTGAATTAAAAGAAAAAAAGTAGAACAGTGTAACACGTTTGATCATCTTCCTCTGTTCCACTCAAGTATACAGAAAACAAACTGTTTAAAGCAAACATGGTCGAAGCTGAAGATAAAACTGGAATTACTACGAGATTTGAAATGACAACTTTTAAGTCATCATTATAATGCCTGACCAAATAATTCAAAATATTGTTTCATCTCTAAACTTCAGTCTTAGAGATGTCAGTGGACCAAAGCAAGGCTATATCAAATGTTCTAACGAACTAGGATTGTATAGCATTGGTTTACATCAAGTAGCGATTGCACTGCATGCATTAACACACAACTACACAATAGGGTGGGACAAAGTCAAAATTCTAAGAAGTAATATAGGTAGGTGGAGAGAGAGAGAGATTGATTACTGAATCCTGCCTGGTTCATCGAGTCTACACCCAACACATACAACAGAAGTGACTCAACGCAAAAACCATGGATATGGGAGATATTATTACCACCAGTCCATTCAGAGGAGGATAATAAATAATCTTAAAACTCTATTTCAGTTCACATACATTATAACATCATAACAAGTTACTTATTTATTTTACTATAAAAACATCTTATTTCCCATCTGATGGTATTTTATTGATAACACCAATATCATTTCTGAGTCTGCATTATCTTATATTGGTGTTTATTGCAAATGTTTAATGAATTTCACTCATGTACATAAATCAAGCAAAAAATTTGTGTGCTTGAAACGTCAGCAGTTAACATTACTGTTTAACACTGTGTGATTTATCAAAATAAAATCTTATCTATAATTGGGTGGTTACAATTTCTGAGAAAATTCTGTCTCTTGCCGTAACATATTGTATACGAAAGTCTGCCCACAACAGACAACAAAGTAATGATAATAATAATAAAGGAGTGTAATTCGGGGATTTCTGACAGACCCTAACACAACATTAGATAAATTTAATTAATATTGTACATCGTAATGGAACTTGGTTAATTCAATGATACTTTGAGCTCAGTTTATTACTCATGATCATATTATTTAGTGAACAGACGTGAATTCATGTTTGTGCAGCACTTAACCGTCTTGCTTCAGATGGTCAGTAAGTAATCAAAGTGTTGTATTCGCATGGGTCTACATGTTGTCTAACTAACCAAAACTGAGTAAAAGGTGTGTCACACAATAAACCAAGATAATGTGAGCCCAATTCTATTTTTCTCAGCTTCAGTATATGTAGTTATCATCAGTACACAGATACATCATAACATATTACTTCATCAAAGTTATCAACTTACCTGCGTTAATTAGCAGATGAGGTATGGTGTTATGCGTCTAATTTGGAAATAGCTAAGTTACTTTTATACTGATTTTTGTCACTATAATTATATATATATATATATATATATATATATATATATATATATATATATATATATATATATATATATATATACATTCACAACAGTAAAAAATAATAAGGCTGTCCGTCATACAGCATTTCTGTGCCACAAGACAACAACAAACTAAAAATAGCCAAAAACCTATTTGATGATTTTTCTTCTGAAAGTGGAGTAAAAATGATGTATAATAAGTAAGTTTGACTGTTTTCACTAGACAGACTAATCATTGCAAATTAAAACAATGATTGTAATATGTGCTATGGTGAACACAATTAATTCTACTGTTTATTGATTTTCTTTATAACAATACCAGCTAACTGACCTAGCGAAAATGAAATGACTGAGAAGTACATACGTAGGTAACACTGAAATGATGAATTCAACAGAACTTAATTGGTTTCAGGGTAGATTTTACCGTTGAATACCATTAGTAAGAGAATAGTGGAAAACATAGGAACATAATAGAGGTATTTTGTTCTTGTTAGGAGCTCTTCAGGAGACTGGGTCCTTTAGCCTACAGAGCTTGTCCCTGTAGACTAAAGGACCCAGTTGACCCAGTTAAACAAAGTGATATAATTTACGAAATACCCTACAATGACTGTGAGTTAATTCAACTACATAGGTCAAACTAGTAGGTCGGGGAAGTCAGATTGCCGGAGCATAAGAATTAAGCCAAAGTAAAAATGGCTGATTCCGAGAAGATAAGTAATATAAAAAAATCTCAGAGATTGCACTGCATGCATTAACACACAACTACACAATAGGGTGGGACAAAGTCAAAATTCTAAGAAGTAATATAGGTAGGTGGAGAGAGAGAGAGATTGATTACTGAATCCTGCCTGGTTCATCGAGTCTACACCCAACACATACACCAGGAATGATTCATCACTCATACCGGAAATATGGAAAATACTACTACCAATCAAATCAAGCGATGAAAAATAATGGAATTATATGAATGAAGTTAGAGAGTTGTGTGAGTACCTTCATATGATTATGAGTGGCAATAAATTGTGATTGTAACGTCATCAGTAAATATTACTGCATAATACTGTCAGACTTTATCAAAATAAATTTTACCCCTAATGGAACCACAGGAATTCAGTCTAGGGAAGTCAGGCTATTAAATAAGCACCTTTCCATCGATTTACCATTCTAGAACTGAGTGACCAATGGTTTTCAGTTTGCAAGTCACAATATCAAGCCATCAGTATTCAGTGTCTCTGGTGAGTTTTTGTCTTTACACCGAATTGTTATACCCAAGAGGATAGAGTTTCTAATTACATTTCTGGGAAATCTGCCTGTTTGCGAGTCACTAGTGAACGATGTGCTAGCCGGTAACATCCAAGTCTCATAACCTGACAGCCTTCATTTCTATGCTTAATGCAGTCATGGGCGCATACAGTTGAGGAGTCCCAAATTGGGACGAAGCAACTGACTATTAGTTCTCGATTTTCATTGACATTTTGACTGATTCCTATTGACGACGAATTCTATGCTCAAGTGTGTTGCATAAATTGTAATTTTATGTAACCTTATTCACGTAATCAGAATGTGCTCCTCCCTTAAGTTAGTGACTTTGCTTTCATCAAATAAATCAGTTTGACTGATGCACTTTTAGTGCAAGCACTAACTCATAAGTTCCAATATAGTTAATTAAAGGTGAATAGAATGTGGTTACTAACTAATGCTCTGATCTTACAAAACATCCAAGCTTTATTGCATTTGAGATCCTGACTGTTAAGAACGTGAAACCTATATATCCTATTAATTCTTTAGAAAAGGATGATATAATACCCTACAGTATTTATCAATGTAAAGGTACATGTGATTACACATTCATAGTGCTATAGAGCATACTTCTAAGTAGCTTCAGAAGCGAATCGATTCCGCAGAACCTATTAGTGGTGAAAACAGACGAACTAGTTCCTCAGATGAGAAACACATTACTGAAACGCCTAATGAAACATACGTCTACAGATGTTTTGAACCTATCTGCGAGAAATAATGGGGATGTATTCGATAGCTGGCGGAATTCTCAGTGGTTAAGAAGTTTAAGCCGTCTCCATATCTTCATAAGTAATCTGTAACTCACCCTTCTTTAAAAAACACTATTTTAAAACCAAAATCAACTTACTCTTATCCTACCCTATTTGTTTAATTGGTCCTCATCGTTATTTTGATCTGCAATACAGCCTTTCACCTTTCCTGTTGACAAATAGGCGTTTAATCAAATTATTCGAAATTTTATTTAGTGGATGGTGACTAGCGGTGGAATCCAGGAAAAGCATTTTGTCCCATTCGGGATAGGTTACCTGGATGTGCGTGTAATCTCCAGTGAGTGATGGTGTTTTCACCGAGACTCAAACCTAATAGCCTTCGTTTTGAACACTAAAGCGTTATCCGGTAGACCACTAGAACTGCAAGAGCTATATCTTGTGCAAGAGGTGTAGTTTATTACTTTAATTAGATCAATTTTTGTTTTTCCCGTTAACTGATTATACACAAATGTTCCAATATGTCAACAGAAGCCGAACATTCAGGTTCAAAGTGTATTGAGGAAATACATCACACGAAACGGATCAATTACGTCTTCTTATTATTTCATCGACATTCATAGAGGAACCAACCGTCTCAAAGCAGATGCATTTTGCTAATTCCATCACGTTCATTATTTTTGCCTTATGAAATTACAGTTTTCAATAGGACCCTCTGTATTTGTAACTCACAGTAAATGAATTTTATTTATTACATATCTCATATTAGATGGTTGAAGGCAATCGGCAGGAAGCCTTAGACACATCACACTAGTTACTAGTGTCCAATCAAAACATATCTTATATGAATCAAAAAGTTAATTCTATTATTAGAAGGCTGGCGCTTGCACTATTAATATCTATATTTATACACATATTACCATAAACAATACTAAATTCATGGTAGACATAAACGTAATCACTTTTATTTATCATGTTCTGTAATTTCACTCACCCAACGATATCCGCATAAGTGTCTTAATGACAACAAGTCTCAAGCTAGTTTCCACAAATTAAATCAAAGAAACAACTTTTATAATGATCGTTTAACAAATTTAATAATCTGTAATGGAAATTAAAGAATGTGGTATTTATATTTTATTTTATACATCAATAAATTATTACTTGGATAGCAATGAATGGTTGTCATGGTTGTAAATGGCAACCCACACATTTAGTATCACTAAAACAATTTAACAAAATACAGTTCTTCAGAAACCATCAAATGCAGAAACTTTAAAGGGTAAGTTAAAATGACGCAAATCTGTTTCTTGTTTCGGGCAACGTCAAACATGATCCTTTCTACGTCTGCCTTCAGGACGCTTTTGTTGGTGA